GCGAATTTTCGCCAGCCAATTACATTCTCGTGGGGCTCATATACACACATGCGGCGCTGGTAGCCCGCAAAGAACAGTTCTGTGCTTCTTCTCAAGAAAAGAAAAAAAGAATAGTTCTGTGCTCAAGGGTTTCGCCGCGAGTGGCGGCGGCCACGAGCACAGGCGACGAGGAGCGGCGGGGAAGAGGAGGCGGACACACGGCGTACGGCGGATGTTCCGGTGCCTCAGGGGCGTCCGGCAGCGCCTCAGCACCGATCGCCACCACCACCAGCAGGACAACCGCTGCCATCTCCGACAGCAAGCCAGTGAGTGCCCTCTCGTGCTCTTCTTCGGTTCGTTGAGCTCAAGGATTCACTAGCTCGTGTACCCTGCATTGTCGATTTTGCGGTACTTTCTCTTTGCTTGCTCGATGTTGTTTTGTGGCAATTTGTCCTTACATCTACTTAAATTTTGTTCAGTGAACAAACCCGCGGAGAACATCAGCGTGGGCTCTTGTGTCTTCCAATTCAAAGTAGACTATGAGCGAAGCAAGCAGATTCCCGTTGGCACGGCCTTCTATTCCGACATCGTCTCCGCCGGGGGACACCTGTGGAGGGTTAAGTTCTTCCCGCGTGGGGAGTTAGAGGCCGACCAGGAGTATGTTTCCATCTTCCTCGAGCACATGAGCAAGTCTAGAAGTGTGGAGGTCATGTTTGAGATCTTTATGATGGGTAGGGACAGCAAGCCATGTATGGCACACAGACGAAGGTTCGTTCGAACCTTGGAAATCATGGAAGATAAAGACAGCAGCGACTGCTGGGGATGGGGTCAGTTCATCGAGGGAACTATATTGGAGGAAGATTACTTAACAGAGGGGCATGTCACATTTGTATTTTCCATCATGATCATCGATGACAACTGTGTTCTTGTCCCTCCTTCAAACATCGGGACCCATCTTGGCCGCCTGCTAGATCACGCTGATGGGACAGATGTGTCGTTCATTGTTGACAATGAGACATTCCATGCTCACCGAGCAGTGCTTGCTGCCCGCTCCCCGGTCTTCAGAGCAGAGCTCTTCGGCCCCATGTCTGAGGCTACAATGCCATCCATCACGCTGCACGACATCACACCTGCAACATTCAAAATTATGCTCCGGTTCATATACACAGATGAACTGCCCCTAGAAGACGAGCTTGAGGACTCTTCCACCGAGATGTTCCAGAACCTGCTTGCTGCGGCCGATCTGTATGCACTGGACAGACTGAAGATTATTTGCGCCCAGAAGTTGTGGGATAAAGTGTCGGTAGATACAGTTGCAGCTATCTTAGCTTGGGCTGAAACCTACAACTGCCAGGAGTTGAAGAACAGGTGCATTGACTTCTTTGTGGTGGAGGAAAATTTCAAGAAGGCCATATTCACTGATGGTTATGCGTTGCTGGTTCTGAAATTCCCAGAGATCATTGCTGACATAAAAAAGAGGGTTTAGGAGATGACACAGTGAGATATATCTCCATGTATATAGTTCAGGTGTTCCAGCGACAGTACTAGATGTGTTTTGGAACGTGGTGAGTGGTACTCCCTCCGTACTTGTCGCGAAAATGAATGTATCTAGACGTATTTTAATTCTAGATACATCCATTTCCAAGACAAGTAATTCCGAACGGAGGGAGTATGTGGCAACTTCTCAAGCGTACTGGGGCGTATTAAATTTGTTTCATGAGCTGGGAGCCTGATATTACTGATCTTCTTATTAGCAGTATTGGGCATAGTTGCTACTGAGTACTAATGGCGGAGTGGTGGATGTTCATCAGATATCGGATACTCGTGCTGAATGAGCAGCTTGTTTTCCGTTTGTGTTTGTTCTTTTGGCCATGTCTTGACCTGAAGCTTTTAAAAGTTTACTTATGCTAATCTAATGCATAACTATCTATAGCTCCTGTAATCTAAATACTCCCTCCGTTCCGAATTGCTAATCAGCCCAGAAATATGCAAAAATCATTCATCTAACATAGCTCAAAAAAAGGCTCAAATTTGCTCACTTATCAGCGGAAGTAATCTACATAGACATGCAAATAACTTGGCAGCAGTGGTAAACTACAAGCAAATAAAACAGTGCAGATTGACAGTCAATACACACTCGCATAAAAACAGTTATGAATTTACAGATGGTGCTTCATGTAACTTTGATTCAAAGCATTACACACAGTGGTTCATGCAGAACAAACTACTCCCTCCGTTCATAAATACTTGTCTTTCTAGGCATTTCAACAGGTGACTACATACGGAGCAAAATGAGTAAATCTACACTCTAAAATATGTCTACATACATCCGTATGTAGTAGTCATTTGAAATGTCTAGAAAGACAAATATTTAGGAACGGAGGGAGTAAAACGCAAAGCAGGTGATGCTGCACAGCAACAGCATTCAGAGTCGCCTCCACACAGGCGGATACCACAGTGACCATCCACACATAATACCACTGTCCACCACAAGCCAAACAAGACACTACAACGAGATACTGACTCCTAACAGCTATTATAGGTAACATAACTCCGGGTAGCTCTTATTGTTACTGCGTCGGGATGGGCTGCATCTCAGGAGCTGTGGCAGGCGCAGTGTCGGCGGGCGGGTTGGCGAAAACCCTTGCAATGCGCTCAGTTGGGACGAGCGGGAGGTAGGTGGCGACGGAGCTGCCACGCTTAGCGCCATCGAGCACTGCAGAGTTGTACTTGGCTGAGAGCTGTGCAGCTGTGGGGAGGACGGCACGGGTCACCGAGGGGACGAGCGGGAGGCGGTTCAGGGCGGCCCAGGCTTCGGCAGCCTTGCGCTCCGCCACAGGCTCATAGCGGGTATACAAGTCACGGGCCTTAGGCTCAGCACGAGCAATGGCCGACTTGGCCAGTCCAGTTGCTGTGCCCATTATGCCTGTCTTCTGCACCTCAGCTGCTGCAGAGCGGGCATAGGTCGGCACCTCCTTCACGACTGGTGGGACACGGCGGTCCAGCTCCTGGACAGACTCGTCAACCTGCAAGGCACAAGCACACATGCAAACATTAGTTACTTCAAATGATGAAGATACAATGCATGTTGGACATGTAGAAATGAAGAAACAGTTGACACTGCATAATGCTTGCCTCACACTGCAAGAACAAGCCACAATTAAACTCAAATGGCCGTATTATTATGATATTTGTTTCTTAACAGGATATCTCTCACGCAGCCACATGCTATTGTGTTGATAAACTGGACATAAATTGATTGATGGGAAAGTTACAGCCAATCCATTTCGATTTCCCCAGATAGATGCAAGCAAAATATGAGAAGCTCAATTAACATCAACTAAATTTTGCCCCATACCAACTAAATTCTAGTACAATCCAACAATATACAGATAGAAAATGAAGCAGACAGCAGCCAACAACAAATTATAATTAGTGCCTAACAAGTCGGTTTCTCTGGTGTTCAGAGATGGTTTGTGATCAACAGATGGGGAAACACCTTGATTTCTAGGTATCAAAATTATTAGGACATCATCCGTACTACTTCACAAACTAGATTAACAGGACAAACCAATCCACCATAAGATCAGACAAGCCGTTTCATCGGCATAATGACTTATAACACTATGCAGATGCGATGTGAAATCAGGAGCAGAGAACAACCAGGTACTCCCGTGGCGAAGAGCAACAGCCAGGAACTGGATCGGATAATAAATCCTTGCATACAGCTAAGAAATAAAGTTGAGTTTCTCAATCGTTCTCACCTTGCGGTCGAGGAACTTGAGGAGGTCGAGCGGCACGGCGTGGTAGCGGTCGTAGACGGGGCCGACGACGGCCTTGACGGTCCCCTCGACGTGGTCAACGCCGGGGCGGAGCGGGCCGGCGCCCTGCTTGGCGTACGCGTAGGCCGTGGCGGCAAGCACGACGGCCTGCGCCGCCGCCTGCTGCACGAACTCGAGGTACCTCAGCCTGGCCGCCTCCTCCTCGGGCGTCCTCTCCACCGTCACCTCCTCCTGCGCGCGCGCCAACAAACCACAGATCAGCCCCAAAACACAAGGAAATTAACAAAAACTCGAAACAAATCTCGGGACGAGATCCCTTACCGCCGCGGGCTGGGTGCTGATCGGGGCGGCGTCGCTGTTGCCGGACTGCGCCATCACTGCTCTTCCGCTTGGGATCAACCGGTGCTTTGTGTATTCCGCGAGAGGGAGACGAAGAACTTTCTCGATCGAGTCGATTTCGCTGATAGGGTTTTGGGGATTTGGTGGATGGATTTGGCGGAGGTGGGGAATCGGGGATCTTATAG